CTTGCAGTTTCTCCATTGATGGATTGGTAGAAACGTTTCTGATTGGATTGAAATTGGAGGTTCTGCCTATAGTTTGCAATTCGAGCTTCATATCTACTGATTTTCCTGGCTATAGCTGTTATTTGTTGCTTTATTATTTCCAGTGCTTCCTTGATCTTCCTTGTTTCTAAGTGGTATTTCTTGATTAGGTATTCTTTGGTCTTCTTGTTCTTCAGCTTCTTTTCTTTCATCTGTTCTAGCTTGCTTGCATGTGATCTTAACTTGCTGATCTTATTTTCTAGTCTAACCTTCCATTTTTCTGGTGCACTGTTTGTTTGTTTTTCTTTTTGTTGATTTTGCATCCCAGGTATTCTGTTATAACTGCAGCTGTGCTGTACATTAGTTGGTTTGTTTCTTGCAGTGAATTGGTGCTTATACTTGATATTGCAGTATTTGCATCTTTTAATGCTTGTGCTAGCTGTTTCTTTGGAACAAGCTTCAATGCAGGCAGCCTTATTCTGTTGTTTTTGTGCTGTTCTAGATGCTCAATTATTCTTTGTTTCAATTCTTTTATTTCTTTAGTTAGAGGGTTTTGTTCTTCCTGAGGAAGAGGTGCCTGGTTTCCAAATGAGAATAGTTGTATATCTCTACTGGATTCTTTCACTGCCAACTCCCCCTGGTTTGCCTCTACATTCTGAATTACCTCTGGTAAGGCTTTGATTTCTTTGCCCTGGGTAAACCTTTGCAGTTCGTCCAATTCTGTTTCTGTAAATACTTTATTTCGTGTTATAAATCGGCGTTGATCTGCTAGTCTCTGTTCTGTTATTTCTGATTCTGGATGTTGTTCTTTCCAGAACTGTTGCATTCGTTTTAGATATCCTCTTCTTGTTGGACTTGATCTGTAGTAACAGATCGTTGTTTCTTTGTTTTCCATCACTGTGTATCTGCGATGGGTAAACACCTTTTCTTCCAGTAGTTCTGCAGCTGCTGGCCCTGGTTGCTCAGCCAACAGTCCTGAGTCCTGTAACCCATTTTTCACCAGATATCCAGGAACTCCAATATCTAGCCACGGACCTTGTTAACCCGGGCGACGTCCGAGCCGGTATGGCATTCTGCAATTTATTTTTTATGGGAGAGACACTCTTTGTCTGACTCCTCTGATGAGACCTGTCCAGTATGGTTGAACCTCTGGCATAGCTCTCATCTTCCTCAGAGTACACAAGCCCCACAACCACATCAAGGTAGTGCCTCACTGGGGGTCAAGGTAGTGCCTCACTGGAGGTCAAGGTAGTGCCTCACTGGGGGATTATTATTATTATTATTTGTCTGACAGGCAACTTTAGATAATAAAAAAATGAATGGCTGCAGCCCATTTCTTTGTTTGAAATACAGGTGGTCCTTGACATACAACTGTTAATACAACGGCACTGAAAAAAAATGACGTATGAACATTTTTGCACACTTACGACCCTTGCAACATCCCACAGTCACGTGATCAAGCTTCAAGTACTTGGCAACCGGCATGTACTTACAATTGTTGCAGTGTCCTGAGGTCCTGGGATTGTCATTTACAATCTTCTTAGGGAATCTCTGACAAGCAAAGTCCATGGAGGGGCGGGAAACCAGATTCACGTAATGACTGCATGATTCACTTGACTTAACGATCATAGCAAAAAAGGCCATAAAATTGAGCAGGACTCACTTAACCACTGTCTTGCTTAGCTCCATTGCGGTTGTAAGTTGAGGATTACCTGTAAGCTCTCCTGCCTGGGGGGAGGGAAAAGGGAAAGAAGAAAGGTAGGAAGAAAAGGCTATATTTGTGCCATTGCCTTCTAGGAAATGGGTATGTTGTAACTGGCTATATTCAGCACCACAACAGCTATTTGGAGTTTAGGGCAGGATTGGGCCGCCCTCATGGTAAGTATTTTGGGACCAAACCCACAATAATCTTTAACATTCCCAAGGGACCCACCACCAGCCCCCCAAATGTACCTATCTTGAGTTGCCAGAAAGAAGGTGAAGCCTCTTATCCATTGGTGGAAGCCGAAGTGATCCTGACCCACTGATAACTCTGCACTTTCATGTTTAGAAGGATTATTTAAGGGAATTATTTCCCCTTGCATCATTTGCTCAAGTGTTGATTCATCTACACCTCGAAGGGCTTTCAGGAAGAGAAAGTCATATTGCCAAACCTTTTGCTTTTCAAATTGGAAATCTGATGCTTTATGTTGTGTGTTCTACGATGTGTACCGATTTTTCAGAATCTTCCGAAAGTAAGAAGAGTTATTGTAAGTCCCATCTCTTGCCTGATCTATTAATGAGATTCCTGACAATCTGACTCTGCAATAGCCTCTCTGGAACATTCTTGAGCTTTGCTTAGTGCCTTTTCCTTTCCTTTCCCCAAGTTCCTTCCCTTTCCCTTTCCCATTTTCTTTTCCTTTTCTCTTACCTCTTCTCCCTTTCCTTACATATTTTACTTTCTATTACATAGTTCTCTTTTTTTTCTTTTCACATCTCGCTTTCTTCCTGGGGGGCTACTTCGCCCTTTTGCTATTGGCCTTACGAACGATGTAATTCTACCAAATCTAACGGTCTCCTTTAGGAAGTATGTTAGATGTGGTAGAAGCTCTTGTCAACATACAGATTTGCCTTAATATCTTGGAAAAGGGTGAAAAGCCAACTCTTTCTCCTGTTGGACAGGGAAGATAGCCATGGTGAGGTGCACCTCTTTCTTTAAAAACAACAACCCCTAATTCAACTCTTAAAGCTTTGAAAGGACTTCTAGGAAAGGGCCTGAGGAATCTTGATGTGAAACCCCAAAAAACGGTTGCCAATGCTTCATGAATGTATGATTTAGCCAAGTAAAAGATACTTTGTTTATATTTTTACTTGCAGAAAATATGCCTTTGTTCTAAATAATTTGCTTTCGCTGATGGAAGTTGAAGGAAATTGTTTATACGGCAGCTCATACGTCAACTTCCAGGTAACCTCCGACAAACTGCTTTTTGTGTGTTCTAGTTTTGCCAAGATAAGCTGGAGTCTGACTACATGGGATGGCTAGCCAATTCAAACAACGTTTAGTGCATTTTGCTATTTCTTGGAGAGAAGGGAGTGACTGTTTTAGGAAAAGAAAAAAAAACCTTGACAGAAGTGCCACATCACAACCAACCTGGAATCTAAGCCATTCAAGTTTAATTTAAAACTCAATTGGGAGCTCGGTTTATTTTCACCATGCTATGAGAATATCATGTTCACCATTACTATAAGTAACAACCATCTTTTTTTGCTAATACGTTCCTCCAGTTTTAGCTAAATTTTGGAGTAAACTGCTATAATGCTTCATTTGAATAGGGTTCTGTCTCTTCCTCACTGATGTATTAATCAACTATTTCTCTAACCCGAAATATTTTTTTTAGAGAGTTTCCTCATAAAAATATATTTCCTGATTTGTGGGTACTCAAAACTGGAGAGATTTGACTTTTTTTTTTTTTTTTTTTTTAACAAATCAAAGCTATTTCTAAGTTAATAGTACGTGTGATGTATCCAAGTCTCAGAGACTCTGGGCAGCAAACTGCATGTTCACTGCATTGTAATCAATTCAGGGGCATATCTTATGTATTCTGTTCAAGGATCTGTGCTTCATAATTGATTTTGCTGTATACAGAAATGACAGTACATCATATGTATTCTTTTGAAACATACACGATTCTGGTACATGTGTGTGCTTGGGCAGCTATTGTATGTGCCTTATATATTGAACTTTATTTCCATTTGTATAGCTCAAGACACCCATCTATATGTTGCTATTTTGATAAAAGAAATATACAATCGATAGCATGGCTATCACTGAACTTTTCTTCAGTAAGGAAACGCAGAATCAAAACCAACGTATATTTTAAGCACCATACATGCAACCTGCTCTCTCGTTTTCTGTTGCTAATCTTGTCTTGATGCATGCTCTCTTGGCTCCTTTTTAACATCTAAATCAGGGATCCTCAACCTTGGCAACTTTAAGACTTGTGGACTTCAACTCCCAGAATTCCTCAGCCAGCAAAGCAAAGCTGGCTGAGGAATTCTGGGAGTTGAAGTTCACAAGTCTTAAAGTTGCCAAGACTGAGGACCCCTGATCTAAATGAAACCACTGGGTGAGATTATCCATCACCAGAGGATGAGATATCATAAGCAGGTGAATGATGATCAGTTGTACATGAACTAAGGGATGCCATGGGTGTTCTTTTGTGGTGGCTTTGGAGGTCTGAATGAAGAACAAGAGTTTCAACTATACCCTGGGAAGACAGAGTGGCTGTGGTGCTCTTCTGTATCAGGGACCTTATTATCTTTGATCCTGGATGGGATTGAACTGGCTCAGCTGGACCCAGTGCATAATCTGAGGGTCCTCCAAGACTCATAACTGCTACTCAAGGAGGTAGCAGACATGGCTAGGAGGGCCTGTGTTGAACTTCGTGCTGTATACCAGTTGTCCCTTCTCCTGGTTCTCTCACTCATTCCCTGACCATCCCCTGCAGTGAACTACTGTAATACTTGTCACAGTGCTACCGTTGTAAAGTATCTGGAAGCTGCAGCTGGCGGAGAATATATCAGTGTAGGCATTATGGATGCCTCTAAGTCCAGGAGAGGAACAGTGGAGGAGGGTTGAATTTTCAAAAGCTCCAACATTAAAAGATTCCGGTTTCTAGCAGAGCAGTCGACTTCTGTCAGGAGGCTGGTTTTTTATCTGTAGCACAACATTGAGGTAGGTATACCTTAGAGCAGAGGTATCAAACTGCCGGCCCACGGGCTGGATGCGTCATGCCGAAACCGCGCCCACCCCATTGCCGGCAATGGAAAAGTCACGATACGTCACAACATGTCATGTGACATTGTGAGTTTGACACCCCTGCCTTAGAGCAAATTTTTCTTTACCGGAATGTATCGCCACCTAACCTTTCTAACACTGCTGCCATTCCTATCCCCAAGCTAGTAAAGTAGCAAGTACTAAAGAAAAACGCTAAAGATCCGCATTTGACAGAAATGAATTTATTTAAATTGCCTGTCACAACAGGAGCAGTTCCATATGTACATGATGGGAAAAGTATGTAGATCCTAAAGCTGTAGGCAGCTCTTGAATATATCAAGATTGCTCTTTTCTAATACCGTAGGTCTTTCCCTCACCCTCTCCATCAACCATCACTGCAAGGCCAAAAAAGGTGGATTGAAAGAAATGGCCTGCAAACTCCATTTTATGTGTTTAATGCATGGCATCTATCTAGCCCTCCCTCTGAGGTAAACAGGATAAGAAAAGCATGGCTGCAGTCCAATTTTCACTTGCCACCTTATATAAAGTGCACGTTGAATTGCTTCAATCAGTTCCTGCGAGTAATGCAGCTAGGTAGACTGCCAGCACCTTCCCCAGTGTGTAAAGGCTGCTAAAAACGGTGTCCAGTTCCTGCTTAAAAATGTCTCCCCCCATGTAATGGTGACCATCATAAGATCTTTTATAGGAGAAACATGCTCTTATCCCAGGAGGCTTGTAGAATTACAGGCCGGACTCAATATTCCATTTCATGGTATAGTGATGGAGAATGTAGTGGTCCTGCAGCTCTAGATGCAGCTAAATAATATTGATTTTTTCCCCCCTGGATGAATATCAAGCTTTCAGACAGACTGTAGAATTAAAATACTCTTGGGTCGCTTGGATGTTTCACCCGTTCTGGAACGAAATGGGACAACTTGCTGCAGCTCTCTCGCTGCGGCCAATTCACCATGGTCATCTTGCCACAGCCAATTTGCCGCGATCAGCTCAGCATGGCCAACTCAGCACGGGACAACTGACCACAGCCTACTTGCCTGTGGGACAATTCAACAATTATTCAAATTCAATTACAATTATTCCATGATTTAAAAAATTATTTTAATTTTTGTCATTCACATTTCATTTCACTCCTCCTTTTGCATTCTTTCTTTAATGATTCTCTTCCACCAGTTCTTTGATATTAGTGTAACTCTTGTCCCATAGCAAATTGGCTGTGGCAAGTTGTCCCATAACAAGTTGTCCTATACCCTTCTGGAACTTTGATGGGACGAGTATAGCCCTACCAGTTCTGTACCCATTGTCACTTTTACTATCACCACTACAGCGTGTAGTGGACTATAGGGTAGACTTTCTTTAGACTATAGGATAAGATCGGAATCTCATTTTACCATGGTTCTAATTGTTCCACATCCAGAAGGTATTAATTGGGGTTGCCTCTTGGTGTCTGGTAGGCTTCCTCTTGCTCTAAGCTGTCAGGATAAAACCAGTGTGTATGTGTGTGTGTGTGTTTTGGAAGAGTATTCCCAGCTGATGTTAACCTAGCTCTATTGCTTATCATTCAATTCCGAGAAAGAAACTAGTTCCTTTGAACACTGTCAATTCAATAATGAAACTTGATGGCGAGGAACCATCTGAAATTAAATCCAGATGAGTTTTCAAATGGGAAACTGAAGATGGGAGACAGAGATCAGCCTAATTTAGATAAGGTTGCACATTCTCTGAAAGAGCAAGTTCCCAGACTGGGCGTATTCCTCAAGCCTCAAATGTCACTGGATTCTCAGGTGAGGTGAGGTGCACCCTTGCAGTTACGTCTAAACCAGTGTTTCTCAACCTTGACAATTTTAAGGCATGTGGACTTCAACTCCCAGAATTCCACAGCCAGCATTGCTGGCTGTGGAATTCTGGGAGTTGAAGTCCACATGCCTTAAAATTGTCAAGGTTGAGAAACACTGGACTCTAAACTAAATGCACCTTTCCCAGGTTGGCTAGGTTTGATGACAGTTTTCAATGTTTTGTTACTTCATATCTTAACTCCTGCAACGTTTCCATCAAGACTCTCTTAAAGACTGTACAGAAACTGCATTTACTCCTAAAAGCGGCCACTAGAAGGCTAGGATTCAAAGATCATGTGATGCCCGTACTAAAAGTTCTCTGGTTTGCCAGTTGCTTTCTGAGCATAATTTAAGGTGTTAATGTTAACCTTTACAGCTTTAAATGGCTTAGAATCTGTCTCCTGATTCACACTTTTACAGTTGTTGGGATCTAGAGGGCAGGTTCTCTTCACGATGTCTCCCTTGTGCAAATCATGCCAGCTCTTATTTTGGGGGTATGGGAGAGGGCCTTCTACTACTCTCAGACAATGCTCCTTTGGGAGCTGCAAATGGCCACTTTTCTTTCTTTCTTTTTTCTTTTTTGCATTTAGGAAATCCTTAAAGAGGCATTTCTCACCAGGTTATTTGCTTTTTAGATGATTTCGGAATTTTATCATTCGTTGGTATTTGCTTTCTGTTATCATCCATTTTTTATGATCTTCAGAAGGACAGAGTATGTAAATCAAAGTTTACAATGATCTTCTCCCACTTTTCCCCTCTCAACACTTGACTGGAGTTGTTATCTTGGCTCAAAAAGCAGTTTTGAGAGATCAATCTTTCTCAATCCACACTTGTTTCCAAAAGGCAGCAAACTGCTTTGGGGGCTTATCTGTGCGACACCCAGGATGATAACCTCAGAGGCCGCCTGTAGCTTTAGGAGTTGAGGAGAATTTGCCAAGCTATTTCCACCTGCCCTGTATAATAAGTACTTGTTTGCAAAATATGCCACTGATTATGAGACATTTCCTAATCTATAAATAAATAGTACAGGGTGCATGTAATAAGCATATAAAACATTCAAGGTTTCACTAGAAGACATTCATAACTCATCGAAGAGAAAGCAGTCCGTGTTTCCTTTCCCCATTAAAGGGAACGTGCTTCTGCTTTGCTTCTGCTTTTCGTCTTGAAGGCATGGGTCCTTCCAATCTCTGTCCTCAAAAGATCTGGCTCTGAAAGGGCGCCTCTGTAGGAGCTTCCCTAAAACCTTTCTCGACAAGAGACCGACAGCACTGCAACCATCTTTCCTAGGCTGCCATCTAGCTCAGTTAATACTATACAAAGCCCTGTGCTAATGTGTAACAACATGCTTGTGCTCAGCCGCAGCTTCCCTTGTTAAAAGTAGAACAAAAGAAATTGCATATGAGAATGATAGCGGGCTGAAACCGGAAGCAGGGGAGGGGGGGTACTACATAGGCAGGCTAGTGTTCAAACAATGGAATCCCCAATGGGGTTTAGCTAAGATCCTCACATACATTCTTACTCACAACCACTGAATATAGGGGAAACAACTGAACACATACCTATATCACCAGCATACAACAGTTTCAAGTCTTAATCCTCCACCACAGGAAAAATATTGCAAAGGAACATGGAATCCAAATCTCGGGCTGGTATCACTCAAGTCCCTTTTGTTCCAAAGGTGTGTTAAGTTTTCAGAGAAATCATTTTTAAGCCAGTTTTAAGAACTTTTAAAGATGTAATTGTGATTTCACTATGAGCAAGTGAGTTCTTCAGTTAGTTTTAGGCAGATTATGATCTTCCTCCTTAAAAAGGAGGCAGCCTAAGTATATGATTGTAAATTCTGAATTTAGATAAATTTCAATTTCGGCTTGTAAAAAAAATAATAATCCTAAAATAAGATGTCATCATGCTTGTTTAAACTAAATCTTTCCCCAGAGCTGCTTCCTATATAGCACTTGTGTCTACTGCGTTTGACCACAGGAAACACAAATTGGGAAGAGCTGACAAACCTGGCGAAAGTAATTTTATGGGACAATCGTTGCCTCTGCTGCTTAAAAGGTAACACAAACACTTTACTTTGTCAAGATGACAAAGGGGGGGGGGAACAGCTTTAGGGAAAAATCTGGTTTTTTTAAAAACACGGGTACAATAATGCAAAAATTTTAAAAACACCAAAATGATTGTAGTTATGGAGTAGCAATCACGTGAGTCAACAAAATGATTTTTCACTATCTTATGTGATACCAACTAATTGTCTGCCTTTTGCTTCCAGTACTGGATCCCTTTGCCACATGCCACCAAGGCTTCATGTCATGGATGAGATCTCCGCTTGCTGTTTCATCCAATCAGCATTTTGGCATAAAGGCAAAATTCACCCTCACAGGGCCTGCCAGAGCTGTTGGCAATCGAGTGATGGAAATGGGAAGTCTTAAATAAGCAAGAAGTGACTAACTAAAAAGGGAACCTGGAAGGTGGTAGGAGAGAAAGAACTATAAAAAGGCACTGGGGTTGGCTCTGGGATCCTTCTGGTTTCTGTAGCGCATTGCAAGCCATACTCCAAGGATCTGAAAGAGGGGGGAAAAAATCCAATTACTGTACAAAATTTCATTCCTTCATTCCAACATGCTTATCTTATGAATGGTTAGATAAATGGTTTGCCAGGATCAAAGCTGTCTCTTTCAAATATGTGGTGAGAACCCTTTTCAGAGTTAAATTCATAGAACTTCCCTGGCAACGTGATCTTTTCTGAGAATTTGGGAGTTGTGGTCCATTGCTCTAAACAGTGATGGCGAACCTTTTAGAGATTGAGTGCCCAAACTACAACCCAAAATTCACTTATGCATTGTCGAGTGCTGGGTGGGTATGGCCCATTGGCTGGGCGTGGCTGCGGTCATAACGGCAGACTGGGTGGGACTAAAAAGTTCAATCAATCAATTCCAACTTTGCAAGATCTTTTTTTTTCCACAAGAAGTTGAAATCGACTGATTGAACCTTTTTTTTTTTTCTTTTTTTTTTGCACACAGCGGTGGAGGCCTAAAGTGAAAATGTTTTATAAAACCCAGCTGAAGGCCTAGGGCTGGGGCGACAGCACGCATGCCCACAGAGAGGGCTCTGAGTGCCGCCTCTGGCACCCGTGCCATAGGTTCGCCACCACTGCTGTAAAAGAAGTCTTTTTTTGTGAGCCCTAAAATGCCCTGCCTCAACATGCCAAATCAATTCAAATACTGTTTCCATTTCAGCACTTAAATTAAAAAGTAGCTATCCAACCAAACTTTAGAGATGTGAGAACTGTAATTATCAAAGGGGTAGATTTTAATGTTACTCAGATGACTTAAGCATCTCCATCGGTTGTATCAAGAGTCAATTTGATGTAGTGGTTAAGGCACCAGACTAGCAAGCAGGAGACGGCAAGTCCCGCCTTAGCTATGAAAAGTCAGCTGGGTGACTCTGGGACAGTCACACTCTCTCAGCACAACCTACCTCACAGGATTGTTATGGGGAAAACAAGGAGGAAGAAATGTCGGATATGTTTGCTGCCTTGAGTTATTTGCAAAAAATAATAATAATAAAGGCAGGATACAAATAAGTAAATAAAATCTTTCCCTGCGATCAGGGGATATTTGAAGCACTTATTGACTGCTACCTAGGCCAGGGGTAGGCAACCTTGGCTCTTTTATGACTCGTGGACTTCAACTCCCAGAATTCCTGAGCCAGCCATGCTGAGGGGAAAGGGAGAGGTTTCCAAGCTGAGCCATGCTGGCTCAGGAATTCTGGGAGTTGAAGTCCACGAGTCATAAAAGAGCCAAGGTTGCCTACCCCTGACCTAGGCTAAGTAGCCCCTACTTTTTGTTTAGTTTCATAGACATGATTACCTCTGTGAAACTGAAGAAGAGTCCAACTCCACCAAGGATTTTCAAAGCCTCATCTGCATGTTCCATCAGCACAACGCCACATTTGAGGCATCCAATCTTTGATTTCGTGCATGGCTGCATGAGGTGACAAAATGCAGTGTAACTCTGTAATTCTCCATTTGTAAGAGACAACCAGAAATTTTACCAATTTGCAGACACCATTAGCAGCAATCAAAAATTGGACTCAATTAGGAATTGGATTGCTCTTCCTTTGAAGCTGTTAACTGGTGAAATGGCAGGTGATCCTATCCAGTTATTTCTACACAGAAGAAAGTTGCCTACTTACCAATAAAATACAACGGATAGAGCCCTGCCAAAATTGACTCTCAACTGTTAACACCCTGGCAGCATTGTCAAAAGATACAGTTCAGCCCAACTGAACAGAACCACATTGGAAGAAACGGAACACTTCAGGCACACTCATTTGCTGCATCAAAAATGCTTGCAGGAATTCACATCCCATATGTATTCTGCTTTGAATTTAATCCTTGGTAGTCTGCTCTAAATAAGATGAGCTGGTTTGAAAAATACTTTTGAAACTACAAAATGTACACTACATGGATTCATAAATAACACAGTAACATGGTTTTTGTCTTAAGAATGAACCTATTGATATTATCCAAAAAGGAATGCTGGATTACAACCTGAATTTTCAACCTAGCCCTAGGGGGCTCTTTCTCAGTCTCTTGGGGGGCTGCTTAATTTCAAGTACTGGAAGTCTGGAGAGCCTCAGATTAGGAGTTTCCTTGTTTATCTTTGGGCTGCTTGAATTTATGACAGCAGAAGCCAAGATGACTTCCAAAGAAGGTACTGTGGTAGGTGTAGGTGATCAGGGTTGGCAACTGAGGGTACAATAGTTAAGTGTGAGTTGCAAATTGGACTTTGGTTGAGAATTTGCTCTACCATCAGCGTTGCTCTGGAGGCTGGTTTGGAAGAGAATGATTCTTTAAAAGGATTTGGACCTTTTAAGAGAGACTAGAACAAGAATGTGACTTGGAACAATTTAGAAATCAGTTTTCATCAACATGAGGCTCCTGTAGAGTTGCCCCCCCCCAAGAAATGTTGAGATGTTGTTGGGTCTAGAATTTGGGTGAGGTTCATATTAGTCAATAGGGCATCTAATTTTTGAGTAGCTCCTGGCCTCCAGTGAGAATAGATTATGGGAGCAGACGGGGAGGAAGGTAGATATGTAGGTGTGCTGTGGACATGGTAGAAGATGAATGGGGTGTTGGGGAGGTTGAATCAGCTCACAATTACTGTGGTTGATTATGGTTCTGTGATAGATGGCAGAGGGGTTTTTTTTGCATCCGGATATAAGCCAGGGTGAATGTAAAGGTAGCAGTATAAGAGGGATTTTGAAAGCCTTCTACTCCAACATCCTACTCAAGCAGGAGACCCTATACCATTCTGGACAAATGGCTGTCCAATCTCTTCTTAAAAACCCTCAGTGATGGCACATCCACAACTTCTGGAGACAAGCTGCTCCACTGATTAATTGTTCTCACTGTCAGGATATTTCTCCTTAATTATAGGTTTTCCCTCTCCTTGATAAAACTCCATCTGTTACTTCTTGTTCTGCCCTCAGAGAATAGGTTGACCCCTCTTCTTTGTGACAGCCCCTTAGAGATTGGAAGACTGCTGTTAATGTCACTCCTGCTTCTTCTCTTCGTTAGTCTAGACATATCCATTTCTGCCACAGTTCAGCATCATGTTTTAGCCTCCAGTCTCGTAATCATCTTCACTGTGTATGGGAGTATTGTGGAGAAATCAGATTACAGTTGTGACAGGCAATGAGGGAGGGTGGCAGGAGGGTGAAGATGAACCACACTCAGGAAAGAAATGCTTGATATCTTCAGTCATCACTCTCCCTTTTCCAGCTTCCAACTCTCATTCTAAAAGCCAGATTGCTGGAACCAAGGCTCTGGCTGCTGCTACTGACAGGTCTGTCTATTATTATTTAATATCTATTAAAATTGGTATACGAGAGTTGGGCAGATATATAAATTAATTTAATAAATAAATAAGGATGCCTGACACTTCTCGTTTGCATTACTGAAACCTAAGTGGGAGGAGGAGGTCATGTTCTTTTCTTGGAAAGCTGCCAATCCTGGATTTTGAGTTTGCAACTAGCGAGAGTCCTGACATGCAGGAAGGTAAGTAGAGATTCTATCAGTATCAAGTGACATTACTCTGCAAATAGCCAGGCACTAATCCTTGTTTGAGCCGAATGGGTTTATTCCTCCTGTACCATTCCTTCTCCTACCAAGTAGCAACCATGTCAGAGCTAATAGACCTTATTGCTGGGGTGCAAATGGAGTACCCCAAGCTGGTAGTTTTGGGAGATTTCAGCATGCCTTTCCTTGACAAGGTTCATGGTATGGATCAGGAGTAAATGGCTGCCATGACAATTATGGACCTGACCCCGTGTATGAGGGCCTAACGCATATGAAAAAAAAATAACATGTTAGATTTGTACTTTTATCTCAATATGATCTGACCCATGACCTTTGCCTGTTGTGGAGAATCTGCTCTTTGATTGGTGGGGAGTTCTACGATGGAACCACCACCTCAGTGGGAAAAGGCCTATTAACCCAAGTGCCTAATGGATGTTGCAGAGTGTTTAAAATAAATAACAACAAATCCAGCTTGGATGCAACCTATTTTCATATTTGGTGGACTTGTAGAAATATAAAAGCTTTTTGGATTAAGATTTGGTGGAACATTCAAAAGATTTTTAAAAGAAAGATAAAGTTCACGCCACAACTATTTTTATTGGGTGTTATTGTAGATTGTGATGCTAAAGAAACTATTTTGATGTTGAATTTTATAACAGCTGCAAGGTTATTAGTAGGGCAATATTGGAAGAAAGATTCTTTGCCTACTATAGAAGATTGGATGCTTAAGGTGTCAAATTTAGCAGAAATGGCAAAAAATTCTGCTTACTTGAAGGATCACTCACAAGAAAGATATATTTCGGTTTGGAGAAGATGGATAGATTATATTCAGAATAAATATGGGATTAAAATGTTTCATTTAGCCTATGAGTAAACTTTAGAGTATTATTAATAGTTTCTTTTTTAATTTTTATTAGTTTTAGTATGGTTTAACAATATTGATTTGTTTATATTATTAACTTTATTTTTAATTTGTTTATATTTATGTTATAAGGGAGTTAAAGTGCGTTATGGACTTGGTTACTTGTATAGTTGGGTTTTTTTTTTTAGAGTTTGACTGTTTATTTGTAACCCTGTATTCAGCTCTGGAAAATGGGGGAGGGGGGTAGGGGTGGGTGGGTCTTGGGATGTATATTGTATAAAAATTTTCAATAAAAATAAATAAATAACAATAAATCTGACTTGATCCTTTTAATAGTCACAACCATTTCAATGGCTGCTATGAGGAATCCTCATGGTATTTTGTAGATAGCCAACCAGATTCCAGAGCAGTTATATTTCAGTAGAAGAATGGAGATGACTGAAGTTTTATCTTGTCATATGATCTGGGATCATTTTGAATCTTGAGGAAATATCTGGAATGTCAGCTTCACCGCTTCTTAGGTGAATGCCTATCCCTCAGGGCTGGTTAGGGCCTTCCATAAAGGGGCAGAAAGCTGGATTTGAAGAGCAATAAATTCTTCTCCAAGTGAGGACCCCTGCCTGTAACCTTTGGGGGGGAAAGGGTGCAGTACGCCCTCTGTTCAAAGAACTGTCAAGCAAGTTCAGATTCTGGCATCAAGCTTTCCTTGCTCAACCCCTCCCTTCTCATGCAGTCACAGGTCACATTATCCAATTAGTGAGAAGGTCAAACGTTTACTTCCTCTTTCTTTCCCCGGGCTTTTTCCCCCGCCCAGTCTAAGCTAAATATTAACCCAATAAATGCCAGACAGTTTTGCATATTGTCAAAGCAAGAATATACAGTATTTTCAGCATTGACAAGAACTTTGACTTGATTTGATTGCTTCGGATAATTTAGATCTATAATCTAGGAAAGATTCTAGAGAAAACAGTGGCTCTGCAAATCCAGAGAATCTAGAGAAAATGTTATTTAGACCCTTGGTAGTCAGGTTATAGGCCAGGGTACAGCATGGAAACTGCTTTGGTTGCACTTGTGAATGATATGGAGAAACTAGAATTGGGAAAGCACAACCACTCCTGTCTCTTCTGAATAAGGTGAGGATTGCAACTACATGACTTTTTATTTTCTGTTTTTTTTTATATATTTCTGATTCTGTTATTTTTGTTGATGCATAAATTGGGACTATTTTTTTCCTTTCTGGATGTCATTTTCTTTTATAATTAGACTGTTAACCACCCAGAGTCTTTGGGAATAGATAGTATGCAAATAAAGTAATTAAATGAACAAACCCATCTCTTATGGATTAGAAGGTAATGTCTTGGACAACAAGCTGCTTAGTCCTAATTAACTTTAAAACAAAGCTCCTGAAAAAGGAAGGATAGCATGTTGCAAAGGAAGGCAGCATTCTTCAGCTTCATCTTTTAGTGCAGCAATAGATTTAAGATAAGAGAAAATAACCTGTATTGACATTTTTTTTTTTTACTGTGGGCACACTGGCCCACTTTAAAAATGAAATTTTGTTGCCTGCTCTCAAAAGAGAGAATATATTTACCCATACACATAACACACATATACACATGTTACATACATATGTATATACCTATCCCAGGGATAGGCAACCATGGCTCTTTTACGACTTGTGGACTTCAACTCCCAGAATTCCTGAGCCAGCCATGCTGAGGGGAAAGGGAGAGGTTTCCAAGCTGAGCCATGCTGGCTCAGGAATTCTGGGAGTTGAAGTCCACGAGTCATAAAAGAGCCAAGGTTGCCTACCCCTGACCTATACCATGCATAAATATACATATATACAAACATACATACATACGTACGTACATACATACATACATACATACAAATCACTGTCCATTTTGAATACATAGCGGAGATGTTATATGGAACAAAACTGTGACTGAATCTGGATGTTCTGCTTTGGATACCATGGAGCCTCCTCTAAGAAAGTAACAAGGAAAACAGGTCATGAAGAGGATGTGCAGCATCCCAGACATTCCTGCAGATCCTACTCAAGCATGGCTTATATGCCATGTCCTGGATACACAGAAGTGAACTACCATCCTCACCACCATCACCATTGTCATTTGGGCCCGTGGGAAGGTCTTTCTGATAAATATATACTTTGTACTAGCAGAAATTAGTGAATACGAGGCATACTTTCAAAATTCAAAATGTCTCCAATCCTAAAATTACTGTTATATGTAACCAATCACGATTAAAAGAAACCTTGTACAACAGTTAAAATCTTGCAGTCTGAGTGCATTTAATAAACAATTGTGAGTAATAAATGATTAAGAGCACATTGGTCCTAGTTAACACAAAGTATGTAAACAATGCTGGAACTAGTTGCCAAACATATTGCCCAGCCTTGTTTTACATCTTTCTATTGAATGGAAGAATCACCTCTGCTGAAAAATTGCTGGAAAGGAAGATTGTTATTTTATATTATGCCTGGTATTTTATACAGAGCAATAACATATATAGGGACAAATGCTCACAAGTAGACAGAATGTCACGTATAGCCATTTTTTTTCACTGAATGACTAATGCTCTAATCCAGGATGTGTCAATTTGGGTTCCGAGCAGTCCTTACTAAGAAAACCTGAAAAGGCAGACAATCTTTCCTAAAACGTTTAGCGGGAAAATACTCTTAAGTCACCAACACTTGAAGCAACAGTGGGGAACAAGCAGGCCTGTTGAAATGGCATCCCTGGGTCCCTCACCATCATGAAATGAGGCAATAATGCTGGAGAGCCCCATAATCACATTCAGAGATACACAGCTGGAGATGGTAATTTAGATAATTGCTTCAACTGAAGGAGCCTAAGAACAGAAGAGATTTCTGTTTTTAAATCTAGATCACTGAAAGAGGAGGAAATGAGCCACAAGCAAAGGAACTAAAAACAAAAAACTATCAACCCTGCATCTTGTATGACTGGCTTTGCTGGGCCAAATGGGAATTGCATGGGAATATCTGGAAGGACTTGAGGTAGAAAGTCTTATCTTTAGGGTGGTAAAAAATTAGGAAGAGTAAAAATATGAAGGGTGGAAAAAAGCCAAATAGAAGAACTGTTTGGTTTTTCCATTGTTACAACCCCATACTACAGATTGTCCTCACAATTGAGTCCAAAATTTCCCTTGCTAAGCAAGACTGTTGTTAAGCGGATTTTGCCCCACTTTATGACCTTTCTTGCCACAGTTGCTAAGTGAATCACTGCAGTAAGTTTGTAACATAGCTGTTAAGTGAATCTGGCTTCCCCACTGACTTTGCTTGTCAGAAGGTCACGGAATAAATATATGGGGCTTGCTTTCATATAAGCTTCCTTAAACCAGGGCTATTTTTCTTACACATGTTTTGCTATCATCTAGAAGAATTTAATGCGAAATCTTCTTAGTTCTCTAAGTATCCTTTTCTCAAAGGAAAGGTTTTATTTGCATGCTTCATTTTTGAGTTAAAAGCATAGCTATCATACATTAGAAATTGGGGGTGGTTTATTCTTTAAAATTCCCTGTACTGAAGCATTAGATATGGCCCAATTCCAGTGCATAGGAACCTCATTTTTCAAATTATCTTGGGTGCTGTAGCTGATTTGTATCAGCCTTGGATGCTTTGGGAAATGAGCCAACAGCTCAAAGCCTCAAGTACACCTGAATCCTTACTCATCATTTCCAGCGTGTTAAACCTCTTTAATTAGAGCATATATCTTTTACAAGTTAAATATCTCATTCATAAGGCAAAGAATCCCAAAGTGTACACTTACTGCACTGCAATTGTCAACATCGCTCTTAAATAGCTCAGCAGACTCAGTGTTGTTGAATAGCCCACAGCAATTTAAGCTGTTTTCCAATGATATCCTGGTGTTGTCATTCAGCAATTTCCAAGTACCGCTTAAAAGTCTTTCCTGGAAGGAGAAAGAGAGAGAGACAGGAGGAGGAGGAGGAGGAGGAGGAGGAGGAGGAGGAGGAGGAGGAGGAGGAAGAGAGAGAGAGAGAGAGAGGGAGGGAGGGAGAGAGAGAGAGAGAGAGAGAGAGAGAGAGAGAGAGAGAGAGAGAGAGACTTGGAAAGTTTCATAAAATGGAATTTTCAGTGACATGACATAAGGGCTTCTTAATTTTTGCCCATCTAGCCAAGGAAGCTGAATTTTGATCTTCTACAGGTAGTCTTCGATTTACGACCAGTCCCTTAGCAACTGAGTTTACAGCAGATTTCCCCAGGACTATGTATGATCTGAATTCAGAGTCAAAAAAGGACGCAAAATCAGGCAGTCACATGGTGACCTGCTTAACAACTGGCCCGGCCTACAACCATAATTCTGGGCTCAATTATGGTCGTAAATTGAGGACCACCTGTATGACTTAGGTACCTTGAGGGGAAATGTTTGTGAAACAGCACCTCAGGCATATTCTCCAACCTGTCTTCCCCCTGATGCATTGCACAACCCCAGAATTTCCAAGTGGTTACAACACAAGAAATTTCGGGAACTGTCTAATAATGCATCTGAAGAACAGGAAGTTAGGGAACCCTTGCGCAAAATACAAACTTAATTGGATTAAACAGCAAAAGTGAAATTAAATGTAAAGAAAGCAAACACACTTGCTGACTGCATTTGTTCCACATGTTAGACTAAATGCGGTTCAGCAGTTTACTGTTCATAATGTTGTGGGAAGTCAGTCATTACCTTAACATGTTGCACAAACCAACAGATCTTCTGCTTAATGTGATTTGTTTGGCCACAGCACATTCCATGAATAGAACTACTATATTTCACAACCCAGGTATTGGATTCAGGGTACTGTGTGAATGCAACATGCAACAACACAATTGGGAAAGGACGAGACGAGGTTTAACCTACTGATCTTTTCAGCAATTTGAACCTTTGCTGGAAACTCAGTGGTGTGTGTGTGTGTATATATATATATATATATATATATATATTAAACTGGGTGAACAATTAAGCAGCTACACAATTGGGCTAAAGGACATGCTGAACACACGCATACACACACACAAGTACACAGAGACAAATGCAAGATTAACATGCTGCTTGGGCCAAGAAAAAAAGTCTTCCTGTTATTAAGCTTGGAAAACAAAGAGGAAATTTACCCTATAGTTATACTTTTGTTGACCTAACAAGGAATGGTTTTAACAGTTCCTTTCCTTAAAGTTGCCAAATCACAATTTCCACATTCAGTATCTCTATTTGTATCAGACGTCTAAGAGATCAAAGCAAATTGGGTGGAAGTCACAAACCTCACCCTGCTCATAGGGTTGGGATATCTTGCAAGTGGCTCCATTTTTTGTTCCTTTGTTTGTTTGTTTAAATGATGGGAATAAACACAAAGGCCATTTTCTGAAAGTAAATTTGCTTCAGTGCAGACTAAATATGACAGAAAAACTGAATGAAACTCGGACAGAAAGGCAGACTTACTTGCTTATGTGGCTTTAGTGTCAGGCATGCACAGGAAATTCCAAACTGGAAAATAAAGATTAGCCCTAGAATTATCATATACTGAAGACACAATTAAGGAACATCTCAGGGAAAATATAGAGTTTGTTAACAGCAAATAAAATGTGAGTTACAGATAAAATGATATTTACAGGAAGAAAATTAACAGGAAGCAAAATATTCTCAAAAGTAGTATAGATTCTTCCAAGAAGTTTATAAAACTGGGAATACTTTTTAAAGATTGGGAATGCCATTGTTTGACATTAGGAGTCCAGGTATACAGGATATTTTAAACCAGTGGTTCTCAACCTTTTTAATGCCGCGACCCCCAACCAGTCGTAAGTCGAGGACTACTCAACCGGTCATAAGTTGAGGACTACTCAACTGGTGCAGCACCGTTTGCAGAATGGGACTTTTGGCAGGCTCAGCAGGGCAGAGACAGCCTGGACAATTCCTATTGGCTTTTGAAAGCCAATAGAATTAGACTCTATTCAAGAGAGTCTATTCTATTGGCTTTCAAAAGCCAATAGAATAAAAGGGAGTAGCACAGCTAAGGAAAAGGGGGAAAAAATGGCGGACTGCGTTGTTTGGCGACCCCCGTGAAATGGTCGTTCGACCCCAAATGGGGTCCCGACCCACAGGTTGAGAACCACTGTTTTAAACAGTCAAAGCTGTTGTTCATGAGGATAAACTACAGTTAGTCCTCAACTTACGACCACAACTGAGCCCAAAATTTCTGCAGCTAAGTGAGACGTTTATTGAGGTTTGCCTCATTTTATGAGCTTGCTTGCCACAGTTGTTCAGTGAATCACTACAGTTGACAAATTAGGTGAATCTGGCTTCCCCATTGACTTTGCTTGACTGAAGGTCGTAAAAGGGAATCACATGATCTCAGGACGCCAACTATCATAAGTATGAGTAGTTGCCAAGCATCTGAATTTTGATCACGTGATCATGGGGATGCTGCAAAGGGCGTAACTGTTGAAAACGGTCGTAAGTCACATTTTTCAGTGCCACTGTAACTTTGACGGTCACTAAATGAACTGTGTAAGCTGAGGACTGCCTCTACTGCTCAGCTAAGAGTGCTAATCTGAATGACAGTGGTTTCTTAAGGATGACAGTAAGAGAAGGATATTTTTGCCCTGTTCATTAATAAACTCTTACCTCAATCACGGGTCTCCTATTGTAAATCAGAATCCAGAAAATCCAGAAACCAATCCAGACTTTGCAGCTGACATTTTCCTCTCCAGTATTGCAAAAGAAAAAAGGCATCAGCTTCTCTAGACCGTTTCCTGTATATCCCTTTGTTGGTTAACTATTGCTGAGCTGAACTGAAAGGTGACTATTTTTGGTTTAAAGTGTCTCAGCACACAAAGCAACACTGACTCTTATTTCCTGTTGCCTTACATCAGTATTTCTCATTTCATGTTTTCTGGGCAAATAAGGAAGTTGCTTGATACCACTTACACTGCCTCTCATTCATTCATGAGCAGCCTAATTCTGTTGAGAAATCCACAAAAAAACCCCCCCCAGAAATTGGCTGTTGGAAGTTGGGGGAGGTTGTTACGATAAAAGGTGAGTTATGCTTCCGAAGCAGATTTTGAATGGTCAACAACCAGCCACAATGTTTCAAAAGGCTTCATCTCAGATTTTTGTGGTTTTAATAATGCTGACAACCAGGCTATGCGCAGAGACACTACGACCTTGAAATACTCCGAAAGGTTGTTTTGAAGTCATTCCCCTTTTCTTAAAAACAAAAAAACAAAACCCAGCCTTTCTGAGAAACAAAACTGCACCACTCAGCTGCAGCTTAAGAGTCAGTCTGGATTTCTATGTCAATTGGCTTGGTTCGTTTCCACAAAATATAAAGACAGGAGTGAAAGAAAAAAAAAAAGCAACCTAAAATATAACGTTTACTTGTAGCCTCTTTTTGTTTTCTAAGTTTGCATACATTGTTTTATAATAGATTTTTTTGCTGTAATGTTATACAGTTGTACCCAGACACAGATTTATTCATCAACTTATATATGCAGGATTTATCTTAATGTTATAATGATCTGAGGGCTGGAAGGGACTATACCAGGGGTAGGCAACCTTGGCTCTTTTATGACTCGTGGACTTCAACTCCCAGAATTCCTGAGCCAGCATGGCTCAGCATGGAAATCTCTCCCTTTTTCCTCAGCATGGCTGGCTCAGGAATTCTGGGAGTTGAAGTCCACGAGTCATAAAAGAGCCAAGGTTGCCTACCCCTGGACTAAATCATAATCAAATTTTAATTCTTGCCTGAAGGCAGGACTTTTTAACTACTCATTTTCATTAACAGATTCACATTTTCCATAATGTGACAAAAAGAGAAGAAAGCTCCAGGAGCAGAGTCCTTAGAATTAAGGGAAGGCCAGCTATTATTTTCAATACAGAAGAAAAATATTACCTATTTGGTAGCCTCAAGTGCCCAAGTGAAAGTGAGGAAAACTTACAAATATATTTCACCAACATATCTATCTTCCTGCCACTCCCTTAAATAAACTCTCACCTAGTGATACAATGGGAATTGTAGCTCATCAAGATCTAAACAGTCGCAAGTTCTCACTTTTAACATACCGTGTTTCCCTGGGCTTATTTTTGGGGTAGGGCTTATATTAGGCCCACCCCTAAATATCAAGCTAGGGCTTATTTTGGAGATAGGTCTTACTTTCGGGGAAACACGGTAGGCAGTCCACAATATTGCTGGAATTGGGTATGTCTAGTTTAATGAACCTCTTTATGGATTACTGCCTTGTCGTGGCGAAGGGGCCTGCGTAACTCAATGAAGCTATAAGCTATGCCGTGCAGGGCCACCCAAGACGGACAGATTATAGTAGAGAGTTCTGACAAAATTGATCCACTGGAGAAGGAAATGGCAAACCACTCCAGTATCTTTGCCATGAAAACCCCATGGACAGTACTAAAAGGAAAAAAGATATGACGCTGGAAGATGAGCCCCTCAGGTCGGAAGGTGTCCAATATGCTACTGGGGAAGAGCAAAGGGCTAGTACTAGTAGCGCCAGAAAGAATGAAGCAACTGGGCCAAAGCCGAAAGGACGCTCAGCTGTGGATATATCTGGTGGTGAAAGGAAAGTCCGATGCTGTAAAGATTTTTTCTCCATAGGAACCTGGAATGTAAGATCCATGAATCAAGGCAAGCTAGACGTAGTCAAAAAAGAGATGACAAGACTGAACATCGACATCTTAGGAATCAGCGAACTAAAATGGACAGGAATGGGTGAATTTAACGCAGATGACCATCAGGTATACTACTGTGGGCAAGAATCCCTCAGAAGAAATGGAGTAGCCTTCATAGTCAATAAAAGAATAGGAAAAGCAATACTGGGATACAATCCTGAAATTGACAGAATGATCTCAATTCGAATCCAAGGCAAACCATTCAATATCACAGTAGTCCAAATCTATGCCCCAACCACTGGTGCTGAAGAGGATGAAATTGACCGGTTCTATGAAGCCCTACAGCACCTTATAGAATTAACACCAAAAAATGATGTCCTTATCATCATGGGGGATTGGAATGCTAAGGTAGGAAGCCAAAAGATAACTGGAATAACAGGCAAGTTTGGCCTTGGAGTACAAAATGAAGCAGGGCACAGGCTAATAGAATTTTGTCAAGAGAATACGATGGTCATAACAAACACTCTTTTCCAACAACCCAAGAGACGGCTCTACACATGGACATCACCAGACGGTCAACATAGAAATCAGATTGACTATGTGCTCTGCAGCCAAAGATGGAGAAGCTCTATACAGTCAGTAAAAACAAGACCAGGAGCTGACTGTGGCTCAGATCATGAGCTTCTCGTTGCAAAATTTAGGCTTAAATTGAAAAAAGTAGGGAAAAGCACTAGGCCACTCAGGTATGAACTAAATCATATTCCTGATGAATATACAGTAGAGGTGACAAATAGATTTAAGGAACTGGATCTGATAGACAGAGTGCCTGAAGAACTATGGATGGAAGTTCGCAACATTGTACAAGAGGTAGCAACTAAAACCATCCCAAAGAAAAAGAAATGCAAGAAAGCAAAATGGCTGTCTGAGGAAGCTTTGCAAATAGCTGAGGAAAGAAGGGAAGCGAAAGGCAAAGGAGAAAGAGAAAGATACACCCAATTGAATGCAGAATTCCAGAGAGTAGCTAGAAGAGATAAGAATGCCTTCTTAAATGAACAGTGCAAAGAAATAGAAGAAAACAACAGAATAGGGAGGACCAGAGATCTCTTCAAGAAAATTGGAGATATGAAGGGAACGTTTCATGCAAAGATGGGCATGATAAAGGACCAAAATGGCAGAGACCTAACAGAGGCAGAAGAGATTAAGAAGAGATGGCAAAACTACACAGAAGAACTATACAAGAATGAGCTTAACATCCCAGATAACCACAATGAGATGGTCACTGACCTCGAACCAGACATCCTAGAATGTGAAGTGAAATGGGCCTTAGAAAATCTGAGCAACAACAAAGCTAGTGGAGGTGACAGTATTCCAGCTGAGCTATTCAAAATCTTAAAAGACGATGCAGTAAAAGTGCTACACTCAATTTGCCAGCAAATTTGGAAAACTCAACAGTGGCCACAGGATTGGAAAAGGTCAGTTTACATTCCAATTCCAAAGAAAGGCAATGCCAAAGAATGTTCAAACTATCGCACCATTGCACTCATTTCACATGCTAGTAAAGTTATGCTTAAAATCCTACAAGCTAGACTCCAGCAGTATGTGGATCGAGAACTACCAGAAGTACAGGCAGGATTTCGAAGAGGCAGAGGAACTAGAGATCAAATTGCCAACATACGCTGGATCATGGAGAAAGCTAGGGAGTTCCAGAAAAACATCTACTTCTGCTTCATTGACTATGCAAAAGCCTTTGATTGTGTGGATCACAACAAATTGTGGCAAGTTCTTAAAGAGATGGGAGTACCAGACCATCTCATTTGTCTCTTGAGAAACCTATATGCGGGTCAAGAAGCAACAATGAGAACCGAACACGGAACCACTGATTGGTTCAAAATTGGAAAAGGAGTCCGGCAAGGCTGTATACTGTCGCCCTGCCTATTTAACTTATATGCAGAGCACATCATGAGAAAGGCAGGGTTAGATGAATCAAAAGTTGGAATTAAGATTGCCGGGAGAAATATCAACAACCTAAGATATGCAGATGATACCACTCTAATGGCAGAAAGTGAAGAGGAACTAAAGAGCCTCTTGATGCGGGTGAAGAAGGAGAGTGCAAAAGTTGGCTTGAAACTCAACATTAAGAAAACCAAAATCATGGCATCCGGCCCTCTCAATTCCTGGCAAATAGATGGGGAAGAAATGGAGGTAGTGACAGATTTTATTTTTCTGGGCTCCAAGATCACCTCAGATGGGGACTGCAGCCAAGAAATTAAAAGACGCTTGCTCCTGGGGAGGAAAGCTATGGCAAATCTAGACAGCATTCTAAAAAGCAGAGACATCACCCTGCCAACAAAAGTGCGTATAGTCCAGGCCATGGTTTTCCCAGTTGCAATGTATGGCTGTGAAAGTTGGACCATAAGAAAGGCTGAGCGCAAAAGAATTGAGGCCTTTGAACTATGGTGCTGGAGAAGACTCCTGCGAGTCCCTTGGACTGCAAGGCGTTCAAACCGGTCAGTCCTAGAAGAGATCAACCCCGACTGCTCTTTAGAAGGCCAGATCCTGAAGTTGAAACTCAAATACTTTGGCCACCTAATGAGAAGGAAGGACTCACTGGAGAAGGGCCTAATGCTGGGAAAGATTGAGGGCAATAGAAGAAGGGGACGACAGAGAATGAGATGGCTGGATGGAGTCACTGAAGCAGTAGGTGTGAATTTAAATGGATTCCAGAAGATGGTAGAGGACAGGAAGACCTGGAGGAACGTTGTCCATGGGGTCGCGATGGGTCGGACACGACTTCGCAATTAACAACAACAACAAGTTTAATGAAGAGAAGGACGAGGGGGGACATGATAGCAGTGTTCCAATATCTCAGGGGCTGCCAGAAAGAAGAGGGAGTCAAGCTATTCTCCAAAGCACCTGAAGGCAGGACGAGAAGCAACAGATGGAAACTAAGCAAGGAGAGAAGCAACCTAGAGCTAAGGAAAAACTTCTTGACAGTTAGAACAATTAACCAGTGGAACAACCTGCCTCCAGAAGCGGTGAATGTTCCAACACTGGAAGTTTTTAAGAAGAGACTGGACAGACATTTGTCCGAAATGGTATAAGGTTTCCTGCCTGAGAAGGGGGTTGGACTAGATGACCTCCAAGGTCCCTTCCAACTTTATATTATTATTATTATATTATTATTATTATTATTATTATTATTATTATTATTATTATTATTATTATTATTATTATATTGGCAATTTCAACTCCAGTCATGCCAACGACACATCTGGTGGAATTTTCACATATCTATTTTTGCCAGGTAGACTTCAGGAGACAGGCAATGAATTCTGCTTTGCCAATAGCACAGAAGGATACAAAGAAAAGCATAACTTGGTGATGGTTGATAGCACCAATGAGTCCCACAATGGCGATGAGAAGCAGGAAGAAACCCACAGCAATGACCCCTCCGATGATGTTCAGGCTGGGAACGATTCCAAATTCTTTACCCCAGGCAGCCACTCCAATCAGTAGTAGACCAACCAGCTGGAAAACAAGGAAGATTTGGGTTAGGAAGAAGATGCAAAAATCAGAAACACTAAAAACTATTCCAATCTATTTAGCTTTTCTTTTCTCTTCAATAATGTGCATTATTTCCATTCCCAAATGTTACATGTTGTACTGCAGTTACTGCCTTCGTTTCAGCTCAAGCATAGCATTGCAACTATTAACTAGCCTCCTTTGGATTGTAAATCATTTAACCCAATTCTAGTGAACTGGCCTGAACGTCTGCTCAGTAATCATTATCATGACAAGACTTTCTCATCCACCAGATTGTGGAAAAACTGGCCACATCATGTAAAACAGTTTTAATATATTACAAAATTGCCACAATATTCTAGGAGTTCTAAAGAGATCTGAAATGAAAACTGGGATTTGTTTTTCTCAGTTTATTGTTCATTCAAAATCTTCCATGACAAAACTAGATACTGCGTTGTCTCCCTTCTATTGCTGCTGTATTTTACATTTAATTAATCAGAATATAATTAATCAGAATAGAACTGGAAGGGACCTTGGAGGTCTTCTAGTCCAGCCCCTGCTCAAGCAGGAGACCCTATACCAGCGGTTCTCAACCTTTGTGTGACGGCGACCCCGTCACACGGACATGCCGCGCATGTGCGCCGCGCCGCGCATGTGCGCTGCGCATGCGCGCCACCGCCCCGAGGGGGAAAAATGGCGGATCGCGTTGTTTGGCGACCCCCATAAAATGGTCGTTCGACCCCAAATGGGGTCGCGACCCATAGGTTGAGAATCGCTGCCCTATACCATTTCTGACAAGTTGGCTGTCCAGTCTCTTCTTAAAAACTTCTAGTGATGAAGCACCCACACAACGTTTGAAGGTAAGCTGTTCCATGTATAAGACGCTATTTTTTTCCTGCAAACACCCTGTTCAAAAATCAGGAGCGTCTTATACACAAAAAAATAATGGTAACCTCCGCAGCCCAGGACATGCCTCTGTGGATTCTTTACATGCTGCTACCATGCCACCTGGTGCAGGTGTCAAGCCCCTGTGGGCTTAACACTAACGGGAAGATGGAGGGGGCAAGATTGTCCACCGGCCGAACTTCCGGATTTGCCAGCTCAGCTGTTCGGCACGGAGACACTCGCATGCCAGGGTATCTTAAACAAGGGTGCGTCTTATAGACGGAAAAATACGGTAATTGTCCTCACTATATTTATTGTAGAACTTCAAACTAACCCCAGAGAGAGAGAAAAAAGTAGAGTTTCTTCCAGTACCATTACAACAAAGTGATTAAGAGAGTGATTCCTCACATTAAACAATCTTAAATATATACAACAACTTTATTTGGACAGCCTTATCAACATCCATGTACCCATAAAATTATATTTTCACTGTACTACGTTATGTTTAAATGATTCAAAATGTTTCCAACAGAACATTGGAAAATTAGACAAAGGCTGTCGAGTTATTTAGACCTGTAGTAAAGTCATTGTCCTGAGAAGAAAACACTTTGTCATTTTACACTATTTGAACATTTTTAATTGCTTAATTTTTCCAGTATCTTAGCTTGCTTGGTGTTAACTTCCAAGACTGAAGGATTCCTCCACACCCTTTGGTACCCATGGGTACAGGGGTAAGAGTCTTTCCAGTGTGTGCCAAACCCAGCTCTTCTCCACAAAAGAGAGAAGAGAATTACACCCTCACTTACTGACCATTGATTCAGCAATTGTTCAAAATTATGAAGGTGTGTGTGGGGGGAAGACAACTGGTTTTTGAAGTTCCAGTGCTCATATGTCATGTGATCATGATCTGGCTTCTTGGCAACCAGCTCACTCTTACAACGTTGCAGCGTCTTGTGGTCACATGATCACTATTTCCGAAAATCCCTGCTGGCTTCCCATAAGCAAAATCAATGAGGAAGTTGGCAGGAAAACTCTCAGTTTGCTCTGATCAGTTGTTCACACTCTCCCCAATCTGCCAGCAGTCACCCCTGGCTCCATTGCACTCGTGTTGCGCAAGCCACTTGCACACCCTTTCCCATTCAGCTCCAGATGCCTGCCTTACTTGCCTGCTTGCAAACTACCCAGGACTCGCTTAACAATTTGCAATCCTCACTTAAAAGCAGCGATTAAGGAGTGATGTGGTCATGTGATATAGCTCTTTACAACCACGCTGCTTAACAATAGAAATTTCAGCCCCTATTGCTATGGTTAACTGACGACTACCTATATTTCATACTCAATTTCAAATGCTTTCCAGTATAAGCTATCTTACTGTGTAGGCCTTGGTGCTCTCTGAACATGATTGCCTTCTACTGTCTTGATTCACTTCTACTAAACTTGTTTTTAGCCACAAGAAGTTGTCCAAATAAGGGGAAAGGACACAGAACGGGAATGTGGCAAACACACTTCTCAAACAAGGTTGCCAAGTGTAAGGTCTCTTAGGTGTCTACAAAGAGAAAATATTGCTCAGACATAAAGTTCCACACTTGCCACAACAAGGACAGGGCACTGTCTAGATATAAAGATGAAGTATAACACAACAGAGTTGGAAAGGACCTTGGAGATCTTCTAGTCCAACCCCCTGCTCAAGCAGGAAACCTTATAACATTTCAGACAAATGGTTATCAAATCTTTCCTTAAAAACCTCCAGTGTTGGAGCACCCACAACTTCTGGAGGCAAGTTGCTTCACTAGTAAATTGTTCCCACTGTCAGGAATTTTTTTTTTTCTTAGTTCTAGGTTGATCCTCTCTTGATTAGTTTCCATCCATTGCTTCTTGTCCTGACTTCGGGTGCTTGGAGAATAGGTTGACCCCCTCTTCTTGGTAGCAGCCCCTCAAATTTTAGACAACTGCTGTAGAGTTATGAGCTATATAATTATTACAGTGTACTTAGATTAGAACTTACATTGAGAAACGCATTTGCAAAGAAATTAAAAGCTATTTAAAAAGGGGTGAAATTTGATTCACATTGTGGGCTGAAAAGTTATCCCATTTTTTTCTCAGCAATTCTCTCAATATTTTTTTACATTGCAGGTTTGGCAAAACTCGATATAATTAAGAGTAGGAGCTAAACAGACAAAAATATATTTTAAAATGACAGACTGCTATTTGAAGTATAAACATTATAGACTAATATTTTGAAGTTTATTTACTTTATTTATTCAACTTATTGAATAACTTACCGGTATACTTAATTCAATTTATATTGCTGCCTAACTCACCTAAGTTACTCAGGGCAGCTTACATAATTAAAAACAACAAAATTTAGAAATAACAGCCACTGAAATCAATTAAAACTGTTAATTAGAATGCTAAAAGTAATTTGTAGGCAAGTGTGAAGGTAATAGGAGCAGTAGCAACTCGGGAATTAACCATATATTAATCTAGTCTTATCTGTTTGGGTAGGGAGGTAACAAGGATAGGCAAACAAGGCCTAGCAATAAAAAGAAGAAAGCAGGTTTTGTTTAAAGTGAGGAAGCTTAAGAGACTTGTCTTCTATCCAGTCTCTTAACCTCCCTCTTTTAGGTTGGTTACAGCCTTGAGATGGCACTGGTTATGCTTGTCAATTACCTCTGCTGTGCTTGAGATGGGAGCAGTACATCCACCCTGATCCTCCTTGATCTCTCACCAGCTTTCAATACTATTGGTTATAGTTATCTTTCTGGACCAGCTCAGGGGACTGGAAGTGAGAGGCACAGTATTAAAGTGTTTTTTCCTCCTTTCTCTTGGTGTTGATGGGCTGGGGAAATTTGAGCCTGATGCCTTTGCTTTGTGATGTTCATCAGAGCTCTAACCATCTCTTGTTTCTGTTTACAATCTACATGAAGTTGCTGACACAGGGTTATACTGTGTCATACAGATGATACCAAATCATACATCTCTGCTCCAGACTGATCAAGTGATGCCACCAAGGTTCTTTCCCAATGTCTGGATCCATGGGGGATGTCTGAGCAAGAATAGGCTTCAGTTCAACCCTGGCAAGATCAAGCAGCTACAGTTAGCACCTTAACCTTCCAGATCCTGAGATTTTCCATCTTTGGCTCTGAGTGGGATTGCACTTCCCAGATGGAGCTGGTTTGTAATTTGGGATTACAAGGATTCTGCTAAAAGAGAAGGAGGCTTCTCTGACTAGGAGGGCCTTTTCACAACTCTTTGCCTTGGGTGTCAATTGCACCCATTTTTGGACTGAGATGCTCTTACAGTGATTCATGCCTTAGTTGTCCCCTGGTTCGATTACTGTAATGCACCCTATGTATGTATGGCTGCTCTTGAAGATGTTTCACAACTAGTCCAGAATGCAGCATCATGGACTTTTTGGGAGATATCACAATATGCTCATGAAAGACTTCTGTTCCATGAGCCACAATGACTTTCAGTAAATTCTGGATACAATTCAAGGTGCTGGCTATCACTTACTTTATCACCTACACAGCACAGTGCCAAGTTATTTTGAAATCACCTGTCTCACTCACCTCCCAGAACTAGCAGGATTCTGTCGGGCAGAGTAGAGTCACCTTGTGGGATCTAAGAGTGTCGTCTGTTTCAGTGCCTGTTCTAAGGAACAGCATCTCTCTAGGAAGGGGTCCCCAATCCCCAGTCTGTGGACCGGTACCAGGCCACGGCATGCCAGCAACCGATCCACACAAACAAGCAAAGCCCCATCCGCAGGATGCAGGCAGCACACAAAACCATGCATCCTCCGGTCCACGGAAAAACCTCTCTCCACAGAACCGGTCCCTGGTGCCCAAAATGTTGGAGACCTCTGCTCTAGGATACGGATGGCTCCACTCTGCTAGACTTTCACAAAACATTAAAGGCCTGGCCCCAGGTTTTTATGCACTCAGAAAGAATTAGTACAAGATGCTTTACCACTGGGGTACCACTCCAGTTTTGATTCCTAAAATGAGTAGTCACTTTTTGAAAAAACAAAATGCTGGAAATATAATGAATTATAGAGAGCAAGGATGTGGTATAGGTAGTCCTTAACTTACGACCACAATTGAGCAATTGCTAAGTGAGAA